CCTCACACGGCTCATGTCACCAGCCCCCAGGGAGCAAGGGCTGGGTGGGGCCGAGACCCAGAGCCGTCGGATTCAGCCATCGTGCCCAGGAGACTGTCACCAAGGCACCAGGACCAGCCAGCCAGCACGGGAGGTGCCCGCAGCTACCGGGGATGGGTGAGGCCTGGCCACGGGGCAGGACCTCCTCGAGGGGACCCCAGTGTCTCCCCAAAGGGGCCGTTGCCTGGACGGGGGTTTCTCCTCGCGCTGGGTGCATCGAAACCACTCACGCGGTCGCCTTTCTCCCCCTTCAAGCCGGAGGTCCCCGGGAATCCTCGTTCTCCTTTGCCCCCCTGCAGGAGAGGGGGGGTCCCATGAGAGGTACGCACTTTGCACAGGGGAACGCATGCCCCCTGTAAGTGCACACAGGCACAAATGGACACACGCTCACCACAGCATGTATGGACACACACAGCTACACATTCCCCACACCATGTATGGACACACACACAGATACACACTCCTCACATGTATGTACACACATGGACACACACACACAGCTACACACTCCCCGCAGCATGCATGGACACATGGACATACACACGGATACACACTCCTAACAACATGGATGTACACACGTGGACATACACTTCCCACAACATGTGTAGATACACACATGCAGACACACGCGTCACATCCACATGGACACACACACACAAATACACACCCCCACCGCATGTACAGACACCCGCTGACGGAGACCTGGGATCACCTCCGCGTGCTCGGGCAGGCACTACCTGCGATAAGCAGGCCAGGCTGGGTGCCCTTTCACAAGCAGCACAGAGCCGGGCTCCGTCTGTCAGTCCGGGCGAGGACACACTTACCTTGGGGCCGGGGGGACTGAGAGAGACCTGCACAAACCAAAGAGTGGCGTCAGTGCACCCAGCCGGGTCTGCCGCCGTGTGACCCACCCCAGGGCGGAGGGTTGGGAACAAGGGGTGGGCGGAAGGAGAGGGACAAGTCACGAATCCCTTTTAAAACCATTCAGTGGACTGTTCCCCTCCCCCCCAAGGTGTCCCAGGCCACCCTGTCTGCACACGGGAAGGCGTGGGGTACCTGGGACCAGCCCCCTCCAAATGCCCCCTTGACTGGACTCCGGCTGGGAGGAGCAAGGGGCAGCAGATAAAGGGGATTAAAGAAAGATGCAAAACGGCTCTCGTTTTAATCCTCCTCCCCGTGGCCTCCCTAAATCCCTCTAGTGGTTCACAGCGCCCACGCCGGCCTGTCAGGCGCCCTGCATGCAGCTGTGAGCTCCGAGCCCTTCTTTTTTCCCCTCCCTCTCGCCTCCCTCCATTGCCGCTCCTCGCGGCCGCTACAGGAACCGTGAGGACATCTGGAAGCCATCGGTGCTCCTCCAGCCAGCCAGCTGTTGCAGGGGATGTCAGCCAGGGAGAACAGGAGGTGGGGGGACTCTTTGGGGAAGGCAAAGGGGACAGAGGGGGAGGAAGCTCCAGCCACCTGAGGAAGGTAAGGCCCTGGGGCAGGCTGGGTTCCAAGGGAGCTGCTGGGAGGGATGAAATTCAATCCGGTTCTGGGGCTGCTGCCTCCAAAGTGAAAGGGTGACTCTGCAGGGGCGGGGAGCCGATGGGGAGTGGAG